TTATTTATTTTATTTTATTTATTCTATTTATATCTGGTCAATATGACCACTCTAGGCGGCTTACAGAATCATCATCATCATCATCATCATCATCAAGAGTTACTACATTAAATAGTAAAAACTTCAAGATGGGGAAGAAAATGAAAAATAAACTAGAAAGGGGGAAAAAAAGGAAAGAACCAGATATTAACGGCATTTCAAACTTCTCTCATGTTCCAACTTAGGGCGACCCTAGAAATAGGCACTCTCCAAAAATGTCCTGTCCTCAGCCGCCCTGCTAGCTTTTGCAAACTCAAGCCAGTGGTTTCCTTAAGGGAGTCGGTCCATCTTGTGTTTGATTTTCCTCTTTTCCTGCTCCCTTCCACCTTTCCCAGCGTGGTTGCCTTTTCCACCGACTCCTGCCCTCTCATGATTTGCCGAAAGTAGGACAGACTCAGTTTGCATACTCACTCTTGTTAGCTGTAATAATTGCCTTTTTAATGATGTAGGCCGCCTTGAGTCCTTCATAAAGAGAAAGGTGGGGGTAAAAAATATTTTTAATAAATACATAAAACTAAAATATGTTTGCCTCCAAAGATAGTTCAGGCTTGATTTGATCTAGGACCCACCTGTTCATTTTTCTGACAGTCCTGGGTATCTTTAAAATTCTATTTACAGTTTGCTTTACATTAAAAAAAAAGATTCTCAGCCAAATTCAACCTTTTAAGGGTCTCATACACCCATCAATACACTCACACTAAGAAATGCATGCCATGTAGACCCCTTCAGGTTAGCCTTTTCTTCTTCTTTTACTACAACTCTGGTGTTGGTGTTGGCTGGAGGAATCGGGGGAAATTTCTCTCCAAGAGAACCAGATGCCCAGCCTCTAACATTATTGGCTTTGCTTCCTCCTGTAGGTGCGGATAATGAGAAGCTGAGAGCTCGCTTTTCGAACACATGGTCAGTTGGTCCCAGTAGCCTAGGGCGCTCATAATTCTGAGTTTTCAGAATAGTGGCACCAGCCTGCCTTCTCTGTGAAATCACCAAAGTTACCTTCTGCAGGCGACCAAAGTCAGAGCTCACCATTGATCATCTTTTTTTCTTCCCCCTACAAGAGTTGTATCAGATTTTTGTTTTGTCGGGATGAATTCGGCTTTAGCCTTTGGGCTGGCCATTGAGTTCGAGGGCCAAATTTCTCTTCGACGTTCGGAATTTTGTTCTTTGGCAAACGGATAAAGAGAGGATTAAAGGACGGATCAAACCAGTCCTCGCCTCCCTTGGAAGTGCTGGGCAGGAAAGTGAACACAAGGCTCTTTAAAAACACACAGACACACACACACACACACACAAAATAAAGAGGGAAGTGGGAACTCCTATACAGTATCCCATTTCCTAGGCAAAGCAACTGGGTGATTTCTGGTGCTAGCTACTGGGGATTGAAAAGTGCCTTAAAAATAAAATAAAAAAACTGGGGGTTGAAAAATGTCTTAAAAAACAAAAAATCAAACAAACAAAAAGTGGCCAACACCTTCGTCAGAGGATCAAAACAACGTCAGAAGCGATGTGAGAACACATAGAATCAACATATTAAAACCAAGCGCACTCACACACATCATGTTGCATCATTGGGGGGGAGGTTTCAGGAGCCAGAAGGGATGTTATCGGTGACATCTTGCCTGCTTTTCTCCCATGTGCTTATACAGCTCTCCTCATCCCTCTGTAATATCTCCCATTCCAATGTTTCTAAATACCGAACTGCCTGTTTTTATTTAATGAGCTCCGCGTTGTTTTAAATCACTTAAAATTATTCCAGTTGTTTTAAAGACGCAGGGCAGGGTGCAAGTGTTCTAAATAAACAAAAATAAATGAGCAAACCAGTACTCGTGACACTAGGGATGCCCAGTGTGGTGTGTAGTGGACAGATTGTTAGATTAGGATTCTGGAGGCCTGGGTTCGAATCCCTCCTCAGCCAAGGAAACTCACTGGGGAAGTGGAATTGGTAAAAACACTTCTTAAATATTTCAGCTGGGATTCCCCCCCCCCGACATTTCAAAATAGTTTAGACTTAGGCATGAGCCAGAGATAGTAAATACAATAGGACCCCTGTCACTGTGGGGGATGTAAATGCTGAAAAACAGGGCAAATACTATACTGTACTGGCCTAGGGCTCCCTCTGGTGGCCAGGTCTGGTAATTTCATCATTAAAAATATCTATGGGGAGGTACGGTAATTTTTCTCTTAATATTTTCAGACTGTGAATAAGTGAATCAGTGGATACTGGTCCTGTGGATAAGGGAGTCCTACTGGATAAGAAGTAGAAGTAGGCCACCCTCTTGTTAAAAGGCATTAGTGATACATATATTATGAGGATGTCTCTTTCCCCACACATGAAGATGCATCTTGGAGGGTGGGGTGGGGTGGATCTGTGCGTTTATGCAGTGACATCCACTGACGCTTTAATGCTTCCTTTCAGAGTGAAAAAAAGGGAGCATATACTTACTTACCACAAAACATAAGGATTTGCAATAATGCTTCTCTGAAACATTTCATTACTGGTAAATTTTCTGCTATTCTAAATCAAATTATACCTGACATGCGTGCCTGACTTATATTAAGTAGACTGTTCTTAAAGGTAGGCTACATGTTCCATATTTGAGAAACATTTTCATAAATGTCCCAAGAACATTTTCCTCAGGACTTAACAGAACTTATTGTTTATTTATTATTTAATAGAACTTAAATATTTAGGAGGGCAACATGTATCTGGGCTGGTCAGGCAGTGGCCCGAATCCTGTTGTCTAGTGTAGTAAATTGCACTAGAGTAGGCCTATAGAATGGAAGCCAGGGTTACCATCTTTCCAATTGAAAAAAAATGGCTTCATGTGGAACGTCATCAAGATGCCGAACTTCGACCCTGCACGCTCTGGAAACTGTTCGTACCCAAACCCACAGCGGGGGTACAGGCTGATCCTGTTTGCTTAATCTTGAAGGAGGACGCCGAGGGTAACCTACCAAAGGAAGCCGGTGGCATCCAGTGAGATGCAAAGCACAGCCAGCAAAGGCAGGAAGACCGAGCGGTCAGGAGGAGAGGCTGGTCCGTCAGCCTTTGATGGTCAACTCTTCCTTCTTCCCTGATACAGGGAGAATGGAGGGAGCCCACCGGGAGATGCAGCCGCCTCCCACAACCTTGCGCTCAGAATCCAAAAGAAGCCTAGCAGGGATTTGGGTTGGTGAAAATTGAACTACAGGACCATGTTGGCCAGTTAGGGAAATATAACTTCCTTAAGAAATCTGCTTTTATCACCTCCTCGTATTTAGCCAGCACTATGTCATCTAAAGGCTTAATGTACAGTGGGGTCTCGACTTACAAACTTAGATTCGAGTTACGAACTCTTTTTCCCCCTTTTTTTTAAAGCTAAGTCATCTTAGGTTAAAAGGGAAAAAAAATCCCCCTCTAGTGGCAGAAGGCGGAATAGCAGCTTCCCATTAGTTTCTATGGACGAAAAGAGCAGATACGGATTAAATGGTTTTCAATGCATTCCTATGGGAAATGCAGATTTGACTTAAGAACTTTTCGACCTGAGAACTGCCTTCTAATACGGATTAAGTTTGTAAGTCGAGACCCCACTGTACTCTCTTCTAAGCTTCTGGGGGGAAGATTTTGAGGTTTGCCTGCATCAGATTGTCTCTGCCCTTGTAATAGTGACAAAGTTGAATCAGTTGGTTATGTTCTCCTTTTCTGTACTTGCTATTGGGATCTTCGCATGGAGCTTTTATCACCTATTATCTGTAAATCTCCCAGGAGATCAGAGGAGGATTATGTGCAGTGGCTACTCTCTGACAATACCCCTTATATTACAAGACAAGTGGCCAGATTCTGTGCTGCAGCAATGGTTATTCGTAAACAGATGTTTGGGCAGGTGATTTTAGAGGGACAATATAATGTTTTTAATATAACACTGCCTGAGGTTTTACCTATATTAA